CGTGGACCAACTCGATGCCACCGAGTCAACTGCATCTAGCTAGTGACCCTCCTCACCCACAGGGCGCTCCCGTTCGAGTTTGGATCATCCCTCTCCCTCTTCTTCCATGCGCGATGCAACTTGAGGCCAACATCATGCTCCTCCCTGCGAATCTCATCCAACTCCTCTTGAAACGCCTTCTTCCTCTCTTCCGCGACCCGAGCCTTCTTAAAGTCGGTAAGCAGCGGGTTAGGCGGCGCAGCATTGTTCAAGTCCTTGAGCAAACGATACACGTTGTTGCGACGGATGCGTAGATCTTCTTGCTGCGATTCCAAGTAGGCGATGTGGTCGATGGCACTGAGTTGGGAAGGAGGTAGCGGAAGCGCCTTTTGTGATTTTTGTGATGAGTTGGAGAAGGTGGAGGAGGCGTAAGGGGATCTCGGGCTGGGGGTGTAGACTTTGGCCATGGGTGCGGGTTCCCTGTCTAAGGGGGGTACGGGGCGGCGACGGTTTAGGATCGAGGAAGCGGCCGATATGGGCTCGGTTACAACGCGCTTTCCTTGCGAGGACGAGAGTCCGTTGGGCGGTGAAGGTGGTGGTGAGTGTTGGTATGTCCCTGCACTGTTGTAGGTAGTCCACGAAAACCGGCTGATGGGTGCGTGCTTGTCCTTCTCTGACGTCTCTTTGGTGTATGGCGGCGTCGCAGTCCGCAAGGTGGGGTACAACGTCTGTTCTACTGGCTCTACGGTGGCCGGGGACTGGTTCAGTTGAGTGCGATTGGTTGGTGTGATGGGGCTCGGGTACGATGTGCTTATACCGAGACCTGCTGAAGGTGAGGTTGGAGAGATGTGACCGCTTCGAAGAGGCGTGTTCTTCCCTACTTTGAGCGGGACAATGGGTTTAATGCCGTCGTTGTAACGCATATCGTTATCGCGTGGATCCTTGGGCGCCATTTCGGTTGTTACAGTTTGAGTGTCAGGCAGCTTGGGTGCGGAATCAATGGCAGCTGCAAGCGCGTTTGACCTCGCTTGGTCCGTGCTTGGTGAAATCGTCTTGCGTGGTATTTGAAGTGGTTTGTCTGCAGGCTGGTATTTGAGCGGAGGAGCGATTTCTGATCGTCCCGTCGCTCGGCTCCACGGCTCCACGGGCGGTGGTGAGCGCTTCGACCCGAAGCGGCCAACGCGCTCCCCAAAACTTGTGTTCTTTTTCTCAGGACCACTGACTGAAACCTGATACCCCATGGGCCTAGGGTCTGATGACGGCACACCTTTCGCATAAGAGCCTGGATCGACTGAAGCGGCCTTCCCTGCACTATTAGGCTCGCCTGAATACTCATCCCACTTCACTTTCGCATTTGGCGCAAGCTTGCCCTCCCAGAACTTCTGCTTAGGTGCTGGTGGAGCGTCACCATTTCGTAGGACAGACGGCGCTCTGCGTAGGACGGGGATCTGGCTGCCCGCGCGGGAATCGTCTTCGAGTTTTCTGCGATCGTCGTCCATGGGTGACACGTCACGCATCGAGCGGAATCTTCGCGGTAGGTTAAAAGAGGAGTACTGTTCCGGTTCCGGAGAGCTGGGAGGCGATATGTCTTCGTATGCGGAGGGCGATCTGCCGGTGGGGTTGTCGTTATTGTAGCAGAGTGTGTCTTGTGAGTAGATGGAGGAGGCCGTGGGTACTTCTGAGGCTCTGTAGTTGGGAGGTTCCTGGGGAGACAATAAACTGCGAGACAATCAGCGGCGAGTAAGCAAACGAAATTGCGATACTTACTGCGATAGTTGAGGGAGCGCATAATTATGGTGACTGCCATTTTGCAGGTCGGTCACTTTGGGATTGCGCTTCAGTTGATCCTCGTCATAGGTGGTTTCAAGAAGTACGGGGTTTCCTATTTGCGCATGCCTCTCCCTATCTCGGACGGCGCCCTGTAATCGTTTCCACATTATGGGCGAATCTGCATGAAACGAATATTAGCCCGGCTCGATATTGGTGCAAGTATACATAAGCATCACGAAGTATGGAAGGCGGTATTCTCAGCGGCCCCGAGCTACTTATTCCAGCAAGCCTCTCCTTTTCGCAGCAACCTTGAGAGCCATTGCACGGATTGCATGATTGTTGGATGCTTTTTGAAACCCATCGACATCGCGAGACTTGGCCTGGTTCTAGATCTGGTGGAGATGGTTGTCGGTGCGGGCGATAGGCGAGAGACATGGACCGTCGATCAGAGATGCGGAGGGCCACTACCAGATGTCTTCACTGTATATGAATGACACAGACACCAGCTCTTTCTGTGCAACCTGGCATTGCGTCCCATCCCAGAACCGGATTGCATGGCAAGCGCATAAACCAACGGGCGATGTCGAGGACGCAAGTACCAAGGCCAAAAGAGCTGGTGAGGGGATAAGGAATATGAGTACGTACCGGTGTAATTATGCGTAAAGGGAGAGGTGTGGAGTTGGTGTTGACTGTTTGTGGTGTTGTTGTTGTGGTGGTTGATGCCAGATCAAACAAAGAAACAGCACGTAAGCTTCAAGCCGTGAATCCTTCGGGCGCTGCAGCAGCACCGAGGGCGTAATTTTGGTAAATGAGGGAGGGCGACCAAGTCGAGGTAGAGTTATCCACGGGTATCAGTGCCGGCCCAGTGCATCTAGGAGAACACCCCACAAACACTCGCGAACTGCGCCTCGACCAAAGCGCCAGCGGCAGGATATCGCACCGGTGCCGCAAGTCTTTGTCTTCACACAGCGGTTCGACAGCAGCGAATTGGTTTGCGACACAATGTTTGGACGGGATAGGGCCGAGGCGCAAGAGGCGGCGTGGGCGAATCAGCGCGTCCCAGGGCAGTGGAAATGAATCGCTGTCGCGCGTTTCAGGCCTGGAGAGGGCCCTGTTTCAGAGGCAGCGCGGCAGGGATGGGCTGGATGCAGCGGCGCGATGCTCAACGTCTGCGCGCAGATGGGCGCGTGCTTGCGGTTGTGCGGTCACGGTGCAAGTGGAGTCGAAGTATCTAAGATTACCATGGCGACTCTCCGGTGAAAGAGCAGCAGCCGTCAGCATCCGTGGTTGTGCAGGCCGGTGGCTATGTCTCACATGCACCGCAGGCAGTGCATCTCAGCTGTGATGGCGCCCCTTTGACGGGCAGATGCAGGCCGAATGCGATTCGATTGTCTGTACAAATGTCTGGATTCGGCCCTTGCATGTCAAGTCGGCGGACGTCCGTGATAGTTTGACATGGATGGCTGGTTAGTGCTGAGAGAGTCTTTGGGGTTGCATCATCGGCTGTCATGTCGACCGAGCTCCCCGCCGACCCTCGACCACGCCAGCACCCTTCACCGTCACCACTCTAGCACAGCTGTAGCACACCACCCGCAGCCATGTCAGATGGTTAGTCTCTACAAGAGCCACCTTCTGGGACAACGTCGCGCTAACCGCAATAGCACTCCCATCACCTCTGCCGGAGCCAGCGGCAACCCACGCGTACGCAACCAGCTCCGCTCCTTCACCAACACGTAGCTCACAGCCCTCCAGCGCCTCCGTCTTCACCCCAATAAACATCATCCTCTTCTCTCTCCTCAACCTGCTCGTCTATCTCCGCCTCAAGCCAGCCGCCCCGCAAACCCTCCCTCGCGCCCCGCCGCCAACCGTCTTCCGCACCTTCACCCCGCCCTCGCTCTTCCCCTACAATGGCTTGAACAACATGCCCGTCTACCTCGCCGTCCGTGGCCGTGTCTTTGACGTTACATCCGGTCGCAACTTCTACGGACCTGGTGGCCCTTATGCAAACTTCGCTGGCCGAGATGCCTCGAGAGGCCTCGCCTGTGGTAGTTTTGACGAGGACATGTTGACCAAGGATTTGGACGGACCGCTGGACACTCTCGAGGGTCTGGATGCCGAGCAGATGGATGCGCTGAGGGGATGGGAGGAGAGATTCGAGGAGAAGTATTTGGTTGTGGGCAAGCTGGTGCCTGTGGGTCATCCCGAGGCCGAAGACACCAAGGCGTAGACCCGACAAGACAGACGTCTAGCAAGAATGCTGTGGAGCCTAAATCTGCCTCATTGAGGCTGAAGGAATGGTATCCGTTCGCCATGTGTCGCCGCGCATGGTCCTGTAACGGTTTGCGATCCGATAAAACCGTCATGCCATATATACTACAAGCCTGTGCCAAAGCAACTGCATGTACACGGATCCAGCCAAAAGGCACGTAGGCAAGGACTGAAGGGGTTTCTCGGTTTCGAAGGGCTCTCTAACGTGAAATCAAGCATCTTCATATTCTTGTAATGGTTTATCGTACGCCTTGACACCTAGCACCGGACCAGTCTTAAGTGAGAGTTGATGAATGCATGGCTTGAACATAGCCTGCCCCTAGTACAACATCTTAGCGTAACCGCCCGAATGCGGGGTTGCTCTGATAGGCAATCAAATCCCACTTACTGCAATACGACTGATAGCAGAGTCACCGCGCTTGTAGCGTCTCTTAGTCCATGCCTCCATCCTCTCTCCGATGTCATAACGACGCCCTATATGCTTGGCGGGCGCTTTAGATATCAAATACATCCAGACCATCTGCTCGACACGTCTTGAAAGATAGTCGAACACAACCATGGATCAACTTAGTCTTGTCGATAAGCCGCTAGCATCGTTATTCCTGCTGGCGGGGGTAATCGTTCTGGCATTGTCCCAGCGACATCGACTACAAAAGGCTATCAATGTACGAAGTCCCCAGTATTGCATCTTCCTTTAGAGACATTGACACCAACCGGAGTTCAGAGACCCTCGCGGGCGCCGACAACATCACCAAACACCAACAAACTCGAGCCTGTTAATCCAGAAGCCATATACAATGCCATTACGCCGCTCCCAAACTTCAACCTCGAAACAGAAGCACCTCTCAAGCTTCGTCCGTTCAAACCGAAGTTTCATATGACCATGGGTAGCGTCTCCATCATGAATCTTGAACATTATGACACGCACTGACGAAGATGCTATAACAGCCCTCGAGAACACTACTCTAAATGATCTCCTAGCAATGGATAATACGTACCGTACACGTCTACAGATCCGAACAAAACTCCTCAAAGCAGAACGCTACGAAGTCCTCGCGTGCAACCCAGAAGCCGTCCCTGCAGTCCAAGAACTCTACGAATGGCTCATAGGAACATACCTGCCCCAACGCTTCCCAAGCCTGTACCGCATCACAGAATCAGGCAAGCATCTGCGGAATCACGTCACAGATACCCTCATCCCACTACACATGCCCAACGGGGAAGAAGCACTAGAGATCCTAGGTGCGAACATCGACACGGAATTCCTTTTACTCACTCCTTCCCCTTCTACATCTTCACCTACTAGTCCGACGAAATACGTACTAACAGCCTTCGTAAACTGCTTTCCAAGCGGCTTCAACACGCGTTCAAAACTTGGTCAACTCCTCGCTGACATCCACGCTCCCGTACCAGGTTACGCAGCAAAGCTAGAGAAGAGCATGGATCGTTTCTTTGCCAATCTACCCGTGGGCAAGATCGTTAAGCGGAGTAATTGGAGCATCAGTACGAATGGGGAGCTGTTCTGCTTGCAGGGTCATCATATGAGTGAAGAGGAGATGCAAAGAAAGCAAGAGGTGGAGGATGTAGAGGATGTTGATCTGAACAAGTCGGTAGTAAGGTGCGAAAGGCAGACGTTGCATCGTTTACCAAATACTGGAGCACTGGTCTTTGCGTTCAAGGTACGTTTGGCTGGATTTGTTAGCTGGATTCGGCTAACGAGAACAAGACCTACCAGTATCCCCTACGTGAATTGCGGGACGAGGGAAGTGGGCAGGTTCTTGCGGAAGCTATCGACGGCTTGGGCCTGGGCAGCGTACCAGCCATGACTATTTACAAGCGTCAGGTCGTTTGGGGTGATAAAGTCAAAGCGTTCTTGAGAGGAGAGATTGACGCTTGAAGTATAGACAAGGTGTATAGCACATTCATTATTCCACCACATGCATCATGTTGACTGTATCTTGAGATACCAGGTGCCCAGTATTATACATGTGAACTAGCTTTCCACCTCATCACCTTTCCGCCACCGAAAATTTCATATAGATCGGGAGTTCTTCTAGGGACGTCCAAGGCCGATTCCACAGGAAGGCCCACCCACAAGCAAGTGCACAGCAGCACTTACTTTTCGATCCGAGTCCACCACACATCTGCTCCATTGATTGTCGTGTAACCGGTAACCGTGAAGTGAACCATGGTCGAAATTTGTAAATGGACAGCGCCGTGAGACTCAAACCCAGTGGTGCCCGACCCCACGGTAAATGTGTCCTACTCACTCGGTAGACCGGTTACCCTTGTCTATGTTCTTCGCAGGCGCCATCTTCGATACTGGAAACCAGTCTGATGGCAGCCTATAAGGTCCTGTGTTAATTGTTCATACTCCATACACCAAAGTCCAAGCCCTTGCCCTAGCCGTTTTCTTCGAAGACGGTCCATATTTTCACGCTCGAAGCAAAGAAGCAGAACAACGCCAAAAGTCAAGAAAATTGCAACGCTGAAATCCATGTTGTAGAGCTTACCGACGAATAGTGGAGGTACCAACTGGATTGCCACGTTTCATCATGGGTGGCTTGACGACAGCAGACTTTGCAGGTGTGGCGGTCTTAGGCGCGGGGTTCTTACTGGCGAAGAATTTGTGCGCGAGAGCTTCCTTTGGCGATAGACGCTTTTCGACGTTCATGTGTAGACTTGCGCTCAACAGATCCGCAAGATCGTTCAGCTCGCCCACGGTAGGTCCTCCAGTGGAGATGCTTCGGGCAGCTTCATGAACTCGCGTCTTCATATCGCGGTTGATCTTCTTCTGCTGTTCAATTTTACGGACAGAGAGCTTTGGCTCGTTAGCTTTACCTCTTAGAGGGACAAAAGCGCTTACCTTGTTGTACTGATCCACCTCCCGACTGATGAACTTCAACGGTGGACCCAACTCAAAGTTATCGAGAATATTGTTGACGAGACCCTTCTTGAGCAGCTTCTCACTTGGCCATCCCAGACAGTCCATAAAAGACTTGATCATCTGGTTGTTAGACCGTCCGGTAAAGAGGATTTTACCAGTCCATAGCTCATACACAGTGCAACCCACAGCCCACATGTCGACAGGATAGCCAACCTCCATACCAAGTATGATCTCGGGTGCGCGGTAGAATCGACTAACGAGGTACTCAGTGCGCTCGATCACGTCTCGCTTGTCGACAGCGGTACCGAAATCGGCGAGCTTGATAGTTTTCTTGTCAGCAGAGACTAGGACGTTGTCTGGCTTCAGATCAAGGTGGATGACCTGACAGTTCTGCAAGTGCTGGAGACCAAGAAACATCTGACGCGCATAGATGCGGACAGCTGGAAGTGTGAGGCCGTGGCCGTTGGTCTCTTCCTTGAGCAGGTCTCGCAAGTTCTTCGACATGTGTTCGAACACGATGCACAGATGGCCCTTGTGGTCGAAAGAACCCAATAAGCGAATAATGTGACGCTTGTCTTGTGGGTCTGCCTCGTTGACTTTGCGCAGGAAGTCCATCTCCTTCTGACTGGCTCTTCTCATTAAGTCGTTCCGGCGAATCATCTTGATGGCGACTATCCTGGGATTTGAATCTCCGGTGTCAGCCCTGACTTCTTCAGCTTGTGCAACGTTGGCAAAGACACCACGACCAAGACCCTTGATCATGCGATAGCGTCCACCATCCACTAGCTCGTTGCTGATCAGCTTGTAGTAACCTTCGGGATCGTCCCAATTGTCGAGCAGCTTCTCGTCAAGCACAGTGCCTTTCGCAACAACAGCCTCCTCAGTTCCGACATCTTCTTCCTCGTCTTCGTCATCAGAAGCGAACATGTCGAACTCTTTCTTTTGTTTCTTGACAGGTGCTACTTTCTCAGCTGGAAGTGTAGAGAGGGCTTTCGGGTCGGTCTCGCGGTACGCATCCGAGGATACTTCGGTGTTCTGGTTCTTCTTGGCAGCGCGATCGCGGTCGTCCAGCATGTCCTGTAGCGGGTCGTAATCCGCCGCGGATGGACTCGCTACCGCAGGACTGTTGCCCTCGCTGATTATGTTCTGTTTGTCGATTACCATAACGTCTGGTGAAGCTGGTACGGAGTCGAGGTCGCCATTACGGGGCGATGCGAACGGAGAGATGGGACTGTCGGCGTGGGCCGCTGGCGATCCGACATTAGGGGTTGCCGCTTCAGATGCATTCGTCAGCACAGCCTGCTGAAGCAGACTGTCTTTCGGCTTCTGTTGCTCAGAAGCAGCGGCGCGAATAGCAGCCCAGCGGCGACGTTTCTCTTCACGCGATTCTTGAGTGGGAACTTTCTCTTCGACAGGGGCCGGGGTGTACTCAGTCGTATCGTCAACGGAGGTCCTATTGCAGAGTCAGTTGTGTAGAGGAATCATTTGGCACTGGGTACACTTACATCTCAACATCTTCTGTCACGCTTGCCTTGTTCGCCTCGGCCTTGGGGCGTTCTGACGGTGCCTGTTGCTTCTGTGGCTGCGACTGACGAGACTTGTCGCGCTGCTGATCTCCGTGACGCGAGTTCTGTGGTCGCTTGTCGGTAGGCAGCGGCTCTCGGAAGTCTGGCACGGGGTTGGGGTTCTCGACTTCGGCGTAGGATATGGGCCTGGCGTGTGATCGGTCTGGTACATCCTTCTGTTCCTTGACAAAGCCTCCCTGGTAAGATCCTGGAGCCCGTCGAGGGTCACCGTGTCTGCTACGATCAGCATGATACCGCTTGTCAGGACGACTGCGCGGCGGAGATGCCTTGCGCTTGTAGCCCCTTGCATCATTCCCAGTGTGGTCGGCTCGGCTTCGTCGATAGGGCGATGGCGATCGGTCGACGGCGCGGTTCCTCCGATAGGGTGACGGAGAGCGTGACGGGGTGCGCTTGCGGCGGTATGGCGAAGGGGAGCGACTCAATGCGCGGTAATTATCATAAGCACCATCCAGTCCAAAGGACCTGCTTGAGCCGTTAATCGCAGGTTCGTCGCGCGAGTTGACTGTGTTTGCCTTGTGTCGGGTATCCAAGACCTCGCCCTCTGAAGCTGAACTTGAGCGAGACGCTGCCATGTTGGCTCTTGCTGTGATGCCGGACCGCGCTATCTTGCTTCAGAAGATAAATTCTGGCGTCAGCTTGCTTCTTGTTGATGAGAAGATTGAGTGTCTCTATCACTGACTGTGTAGCAGAGAAGGAGAGACAAGCGCGACCGCACCGAGATGGTGAGTAGGAACGCGCTGGTGATGGGTGAATTCGTCGTGGTCTCGTCGCGGTTGGCTTCGCGATTCAGCGGGGAAAGTGCAATGAAGTCAGAGCTTTAGGCATTACCTAAGCAGGCACGTGACCCATCTATTAGCAAGACCACGTTTGCTTCTCTAAATCAGCGCTCAAATGTTCTGGATACCATCTCGGCCGATTGGTCAGGTCATTTGATACAACAAGATTCAGTGGACTTTTGAGCCGTTGGGATGTTTCCTAAGCCCGCCCTGGTGGTACCTCACGAAGTGCTCAGGTGCCCAGGTGGACTTCACCCATACATACTCTACTCCGACGTTTATAGAATTACCAACCTTACGAAAGACTTCGTAGCGGCTAGAACAAGACGTCTGCTTTGACCAGACGCCGCTTCCGTTGACGCAAGCAACGGCCAGATGAAATTTACCCAGTTGTATGGTCCTGGACAGCGTCAAAAAGGGTGTGTATGCTGGTAAGGCGTCCAAGGACAGTTCATGATCAACTGACAGCGCACTTGTGCCTCATAGTGCCGTGCTTTCTTGCTCTTCCCGCTTTGCGAGGGGCCAAAGCGGCGATGGTCTGATTCCCGTGATTCATGTCGAAATCCACGACAGCAGTCCATGACTCTTCGCAGGGGAGTTCCACAAAACGACTTCGTGACGGGTTGTAATTGCTGTGTCACTGCCCAATATCAACTGGATCGCCTGTAACAGATAGCATCGGATGCATCCCGCCGAAAGTATCCTCGCCTCGCCTCGACGCCTACCGAGGCTGTGCAGCCTTTGGTGACGGGTCTCATGCGATGGGGCTAAGCACCCGGTGTTGCGCCTCCCTCCGTCTACCTTGGTAGCTTACGCGCACGAAGATCTTCCGCATCTAAGATCCGCGAGCCGATCCATGTAACAGTAACATGCCGGTTGTAGTCCAGTAAGCCAATGTCTCTGGGTAAGGTAGGCGAGTTGTTTTTTTTCGATTCTCGCATGCCGCGGAAATGCTTCAAGCATGATCACCATCAACATTGGGAACGAACGCATGTTATCCTTGCTAAACGACTATCTAAGCGATTAACAATCGCGCAGCAGAATACAAGACACTTCTACGCCTTAGGCGTGTTAGTATAGAAAGTATAGTATATATTACGCTTATAGGTTGTAGTAGTAAACAATAGCTTACATATACTCTACTTAGGTACAAAGAAGAATAGTATCTACTATATAGAAATGTAAACATAGGCTATATATTTAGCTAAAGGCTTAGTGCCTTATGCCTAATTTTGCAGACTCTGTTTAGTAAAAAGATATTAAAAGACGCCTAGCTTCTAGGTTATCTTAAAATAGCTAGAAGATTTTAAGATTTTAAGATATTTAGTATATATTACTATTAGTACTAATACTTATATAGACTATAACTATATATATTTATATACTTCTAAGCTTAGGTAGTAATTAAAAACTATATAATATAGTAGTAATAGAAATACTATAATAGCTTTATAGTATATATTCTCTAATAACTATAATATAATAACTATTCTCTTAAGTCTTAATAAAACTTATAGTAGTCTACTATAGCTACTATTTAATAAATAGTATCTTACTATATAAGATAAGCTATAAATACTATATTTTTATTATTTTAGCTTTTATTACTTTTATAAAGTATTTTAGCTAAAGCGTTTCTTTACTAAAGTATAGTATTCTTAAAAGCTAAAAAGAGCTATAAGCTTAATATTAATTTTACTTTATATACTTAGTTATAGATATAAATAGCGTAAGTAATTAAGTATATTTTAGTAAGATTATAAATAGAATACTCTTTTTATTACTTTAAAAGTAGGCTATATCTACTAAAAAGCTTATATATTTTACTAATAAGCTTTTTAAAAGTAAAGCTAGAAAAAAGAATAATAAAAAGTTTTACACTAGTTATATATATAATAAAAATAATAAAAATAAAAGTAAAAAAAATAAGTATAATAAAAATAAGTATAATAGAAATATTAATAGGCCTAGTATATAGCTCTAAAGTACTAGTAAAGTAGCTCTTTAGAGCGCTTATAATAGCTTTTAGTAAGAAGAGATAGTAAGCGTAATTATAGTAGCTATAAATAGAATAAAAAGTGTAAAAGTAGTAATTATAAGTTAGATAGCTAGAACGTAGTAGAGATTTAGATTAATTTAAGTTATATATTAAACTATAGTAGCTAAAGAGCTAAAAAAGAGCTAATTAAAAGTATAGTTATAAAAGTATAGTAGTAAAAAGCGTACTTTAAAAGAACTTTATTTAGTCTAAGAAAAGTATTATTAAATATATTTTAATAAAGTAAAAAATATATAAGTAAGCTAAAGTATATAAAAGATTTTTATAAAACTATCTAAAAAAGCTAGTAAGTATTATAAGCGTATATATATATATATATAGTTACTAATTATATATAGAAAGATACTAGTTTATATAAGTAGTAGATCTTATAAATCTAAACACTAAAACTATTAAAAGATAAAAAAATATAAGTGTAAACTATAAAAAGTAGTTATATAAGATATTAAATAAAAATATTATTAAGTTATTTAGTAAGTTTATTAAAGACTTTAGTGTATAAAGTATATATATATATATATATATATATATATATAAGATAGTTTATAGCTAATAATATATATATAAAAAGTACTAATATATTTATTAATAAGTAGCTTAAGAAGCTAAAAGACTTAAGAGACTAAGTACTAATTAGAGAAAATAAGAGAAATAAAAAGTTTAAAAAGAATAAAAAGAAGATAAAAAAAGTTTATAAAAATTAAGTAGTAGTAATAAAAGTATAAAATAAATTAAAGCTATACTTATATATTTTATAAGTGCTAAGGCGCGTAGTATAATATATTAGTTAAGTATTATATTAGTATAAGTATTTATATATATATAGTAAAGTAGTAGATAGTAATAGTAATAGTATTATAATATTACTAGTAAAAGTATTTCTATAAGAGTAGCTAAATATAAAGCTATATTTAGTATATTAGTATATATATATAATATAATATAATATATATAGTATATATAAGTAATTAAGTATTATATAGTATATAAAATAGCGCGTAAAATAGATATATAAGTAGATATATAAGTAGGCGTATAAGTAGGCGTATAAGTAGATATATAAGTATATTATAAAAGTACTAGCTAAATAGCTATCTAAAGTAGTAAGCGCTTAAAGCGCTATATAGTTTTAGTAGACTTAAAAGCTATATTAAGTAAGCGTATATAGGTAGATTATTCTAACTTAGACTAGAGAGTCTAGGTTAAGAGTCTAGCCTTTAGTATAGTATAAATAAAGTAGTTTATAATAGCTTTTATAATAGCTTTTAAAATAATAACTTTAAGAGAACTTATAAAAGTAGTAACACGTTTAAGAAAAAAGTAATTAATATAGTAATAATAAAGAAGCTTAATTAAGCTTTAGTAAGTAAGATAATATAACTAGTAATAAAATTAGCTTTAGACTTACTAACGCTAGAAAAACTTATAAAAAGGTATAAGAAAGAATATAGTTAAGAGCTTATTTAGTATACTAGTATAGCTTTAGAGTTAGATTTAAGCTACTATTTACTTTAATAAGTTTTTAAATCTCTAATTTACTATAAGCTATAAAATAAAAATAAAGATAGAGATAGAGATAGAGAATAAAAAGTATATATATAGAAGTATAATTTTACTAGCTAAAAATTTTAGTATTTTATTACTTTATAATTTATAGCTTAGTTAGTTATAAGCTATTAAAGATATATAATTATATTATAATTTTTTTTACTATAGTATAAGTAGACATTAGTATTTATAAAATAGTTACTTTACTACTTTAAATTTTAAAAGTTTTAACTACTACGCTAGAAGTAGTAGTACTAAGAACTTAAGCCTTAGCTTACCTAACGCCTACACTTTTAAACGTAGAATTTTAACTTTTTTAGAAATACGTCTTTTTATATACTAGTAATAGACCTTACTTTTTTTAAACTAGCTTGCTATAGAATTATTAGTTTGCTAATAAATTAGCTAAAGGCTATAACAAAGGTATTAAAAGTTAAAAGTCTCTTCTCTAGAACTGCAGAGTACGACTAAATGTTCTACACTGTACACTGTAGTGTACTTAGGTAAAGGAGAAATCTAGGTGGGATAAACTTTGCGCTACCTAGGTACATTTGAGCAAAGGGTGCATGAAAGTCGTACGATTGACCCTGCAGGAAATGATATTCAACATAGCCGAGCTTCGGTACTCATCATGTTGTTGGACGGAACGGGTGCAATGAATGAGTACGTTACCCGAAGCGTACTTGATCTGATAGCTCTGCTAGCCACGTTTTCAAACACTTCATTTTGTCCGCTATTCACGTATGTCACCGAAGATCTTCGGGGTTTGGATGACCCTGTGGCTAGATTGGACGAAGTTCCGAACCAATCGTGAACGTCGGCGTGGCTTCCGTAGCCACTGACGTGCTGAAGGCACGAAACGGTAGAGACCCTGATATAGCGTGTGCCAGACTACCGGGACAAGATGGAGAACCGACAGCAGGGGACTGAGATGAAGTCAGGTCTGGACCTCGATCGATATCCTCCGTACAATTCTCTTCTACGCCTCTTCGACGCTTGCAAAGTAAGCTTTCTAGTTCTGCCATATGTGCGAGCCATCTGTTCCAAATCAACGTACCAATCCACGGATTTATGTTGCCTAACGTCATTTACCGGCGAAGACCGGCCACACCGGGGAACACCACAGCACACCTAGCCGGCCCTGAACTATGCCCTCAACTTCTATTCTCCAACCAGCCCCCAGTTATCC